CTCTGCCCAGAAGTCCAGTCAGATTGGGAGCTCTCAGTTACTAAAGAGACATGTTCAGAGGACAGAAGCTTTGCTGACCCACAAACAAGCCCAAGGTAAGTGAACTGCCCATGGCTTCTTGGATTCTGTGTGCTGCACTGAATGTCAGGAGGTAGTTGGAATATACTGGCATCCAGACCTTTTTCCAGGGCAGTAACATTTATGTCCTGGTGAAATTAGGTTGAAGTAAATACCATGAGCTGTTTTAAAGGGTAAAATAAGTCAGCAGAGCAGAGTGTATATTATTGGGGCTGTGTCCTTACTAGTTAGAGCTTTGACTTGGTGGTCTAGAAAAATTAGATTTTGTGAACTGACTAAATTTGTCTCAGACTTTTTTCTAACCACCAGTTAGAGAAATGGCATCTTTTCTTGTTCCAGGCACTGTCATGCTGCTCCTGGGCTATGGCAGCTCAGACCATCTATACAGAGATTAACTTGATTCATCAGATTCTAGTGTGACTCAGCTGGCATCATGTATCTTGGATTTATCCTCAAAATGTTCTTTATAGCAGAGTTTATTAGGAATCTCTGCAGATAGATTTTAGATTAGCTGAGGACTATTTATGTGACTAAAATTTGAGTTTTGAAAATAGCAGATAAACACTTCAGAAGTACAAGTTTTAGAAAAGGGAGCTTTCAGTGGATGAGGGAGAAGAAGCAGATGGTGGCTTTATTCTGTTCTAGTCTAGCTGTGTGGGCTCTGAGGGGAGAGCTCGTGGCCACAGTTTTTGATGACTGTTTTCTGGAGAGTAGAAGTGGCTGAGAAGTGGCAGCAGCCAGAATGGGCTGTAGAGCAGAGAGGCCAGGCACTGCCAGGAGACTGCTCTCTTGTCCTTGAAGTGAAAGATCCAAACATGAACCCCGGCCTTCTATGGGGTGACTCACAGGATTGGCGCTAACCGAGGCACGGGTGTGGATGCATGGTTTGAAGGTAGAAAATGAGGCTAGTGTCTGTGGGCCATGGTGGATGCTGTGTGGCCTTGCTGAGTGATGGTTAGAAACAGGCTCTGGGTGGGTGGTGCTGTTAGGCCTTTAATGAAGGGAATGAGGAAGGGCTCTGTTGGCTCCTGGAGAGGATGCCCACATGGTGTAGAACTTTCCCTGACTTCCTCACTCGTTCCCTTCTGCCCTCTCCCTGGCTGGCTGTGATTCTGTAATTCTGATTCATTCCAGCACAGTTTGCTGCTTTTTTGAAACAAAATATGCTGGTGAGGAAAGCTCTTCCTCCTGGCGCCTCCTCCTGTCTCTTTGGTGAGTATCACTTTGCTCTCTCACCTGTTCTCTCATTCCTCCTTCTCTGCCTCAGCTCTGCCTCTCCTCTGTCTCTCTTGTTTCATCCCATTCCCCTCCCCCCTCCCTGCCTTTACCTGTCTTCTGATTCTGTGGACTCTTTTTGCTTATTCTGAAGTGTCACTCTTTGATCCATTCTTTTTGCTTGTGTCACGTAATGTTGTCATTCTTTTTTTTGTCTTTTGTTTTTGGTCTTTCATTGTGGTTCTTGTTTCTTTGTTTCCTGTGTATCTGTGATCCTCTGCTTATGAGTCCAGGTTTCCTTCTGCATTTTCCTTTGCCGGTGTTCCATCCCAGCCACTGAAGAAAAACCAGCCACTTAGCACCAAAGCATTTGTAACTCTTTTTTTACTCCTCCTTCTCCTCCCTGTTTTGATTATAATGTTTATGTTCTCTCTGTGCATTTATGTTCTCCCTGTGCAGTCCTGCCTGTGCAGTGGATTATAGCAGGTGGTCTGCACAGCTGGTAGTCCTATGCCATGATCCCCTTCATCCTTGTGTGAATGCTACCTCCTCCCATCCCTGCTTGTTGATAGGAAGGAATGGGACTTGGTTCTGGGTTGGATTCTGGAGTTTAAAAGGAAGGAGTCTCTGAGGTATTCTGAGGGATAACTTAAGTTCAGGAGTTTGGGCTACATACAGGATGTTATTGCGTACCATTGAGTCATAAACAACCCATAGCTGACCTACCAGCAGGTTTTCAGAGGCAGTAAATCTCACAGGATGAGATTGCCCATCTTTGTCACATGGAGCAGGTAGTGGGTTTAACTGCATACCTTTGGTTTGCCAATGTGTTTTCCTACCATTAAGCCACCAGAGCTCCCTTGTCCAGGACAAGTCTGTTTTAGTTACTTGGAGGAGGCCTGTGCGTGAAGGGTGTGAAGAGTGGACCTCTGTCTGCAGCAGTAGAGTAGTATCCCTCCTGTGATAAGCGGCACTTGCCTTTAAATAGGAGCTGTGTGCTTGTCTGGGCTGAGATGCTTCCCAGCCTACTAGCTACCCAGAGTCCTGGTTATAATTCTTTTTAGCCAACTCTAAGATCCTTGTGAAAATGCTCTTTTAGAAAAAAACTGGGTGTCTTGCAGCATGTTTGCTGTCCTCAGCTATTTGATTTTGGAGAACACAATTTTTTTTAATTTTTTTTTAAGTCTTGAAAGCACTGTTTAAATCCACTGTGGTGAATCTTCTGATTTTGTTGGCCTGATATGGGGGGGCGGGGGTCAGTGTATCACTTTCCTTGTGTTCTCTAACAGCTCAGGGTCCCCTTCCTTCTGATTCTAGAGCAGGGATTAGGGACAGGGCTGAGGCAGGGTTCCTCCAGGGGTGGGACCCATTCTTCATGAGTTTTCCCCAAGGTGGCGAAACCATGCTTTTGTCCCTTGCCAGTGTTGTCGGACTCTCTTGGCTGTGGAGAATCTCATACCACCTCCATCTCTTAGTTCCCATTTCCTCAGAACCAACTGAGGAAGCAGAGAAAGAAGATCTTAGGGTCCAGCTGAAGCAGCACCATCCTTCCAGCCCTCTTCCTGGCAGCAAAGCCCCCAAGCGACCAAAGATCAAGGTATCCCTTATCTCCCAGGGAGATGCAGCTGGAGGGCCATCTGCCCCTTCCCAGGGAGGAGCCTCAGAAGGTGAGCATATGGTCTTTTTAACCAAAACTTCCTAAGCTCTCCCAGGATGCTCATTGCCTTCTCAGTGGCTCTTTGCTGGTTTCTTCACTATGAGAGATCTGGGAGCTAAGAGCATGAGGTTGCATGTGGGGAGAACACTGATAATAACTTGCTCTCAACAAGCATCAGAGAGGCAAAATATGACACTAAGCCGTAGGGTCATTTGAAGCATCATATATTGAGTTCTTTTCTGATTTCTATTAAAGGAAATAAGATAATCTAGGAAATCGAAGGAAGAGAACCCAGCTTTCTCTACCATAATATAGTTCTTTTATGAGTCTTGTCTTTGTACATCTGACTCTGTGTTTTATGTGACTCTGGAACCTGGAACAGGAGGGGTTAAAGTTAATTACAACTAACCATGGCCTTGGAACTCTTTGTTTTTCAGTCTCTGGAGGGAAGCCCATCACCATGACCCTGGGCCAAGCTTCAGCAGGGGCCAAGGAGCTCACGGGCCTTCTCGCCTCAGCCAAGTGAGTGTCTCTGTGTCCTATTTTTCCTTTGTTCTTTCTCTGGTCCTCTTAGTGCTTTGGAAAGAAGGTGGATTCTGGACTCTATTAATATGACCTCTTTGTAGTGAAATTTTTTAGTCAGCTCAAAGATCATGTTTACATCAAGATTGTCATATGTCCCCTAACTTTTGCTCCAAGCCCTGGTGCCCATAGTCTCTACTGGTCTTATAACTACTGTTGTTAGCTGCCGTCAGGTAGGGTCTGCGCCATTGGCAGCCCATGTGCCAGATGGACAGATGGATGCCCTGTCCAGCACCATCCTCAGATTGCCTGTGGATTGACTGCTGTGATCTGTGGCATTGTGCTGAGCTGGTTTTTACGTGGGATCACAGGCATTTCTCCCTAGTCTGTTGTTGCTGAGCTGAGAAGCTCCAGTGACCCTGTCCAGCATCACCACAGTACAAGGCGCCACTGACAGGATGGTGCCTGTGCTTGGGATGAACTCGCTACATGGAAGAGGAGAATTCTGACACTGAACCATAGCATCCCCACTTTAGAAGGGTGCTTTAGCTTCGTGTCCAGTTCTGAAAGCTTTCTTGGGCCCTTTACTCTTTCCCTCCCTATGTTGCCAGCATCTGCTGCCTCTGATTTTTGGAGAACAGTTTTCCTTCTTTGTCTCAGATCAAGTACATCTTCTGAAGGGGTCCTTTCAGCCAGCCCGGCCTCCTCAATGGTCTCCAGCAGCACTGTACCTGGTGCCTTGCACACACTCCAGAGCCGCTTGGTGGCAACCTCGCCTGGCAGCTCCCTCCCAGGTATCTGGTACCCCAGCATTTCTCCCTCACCTCTGAAAAAAGGTGGTTTGCATTAGACACTCTTTTCCTTCAAGTGGCCCTTCCTCTTTGCTTTGAGATTACTGGGCTATGTGTTAGGTGAATGGTAAACCAACATACTTGGCTTTAAAAGGCCTTCCTCTTCCTTAGAAAGAAAGACGGCAATTCTAGATTTTTAAATTCTAGGATTCAGGTTCCCTTTAGTTCTTTCTGAAATTTTCATGAGACGGGTGTTTGGAGCCGACTGGGAACTCCCGTGCCCGAGAGCCTGGTGCCGTATCTGCAGTTTCTCTTCTGAGGCGAGCATCCAGCACTTGTGGGGGAGAGCATTTTAGTAGCTCTCTGAGAGCATTGGGATGTCCAGGGCATTAGTGTGTTAGTTGGTGCTGAGAGTGGGCGGGTGTGGCTACTCTGGGGATAAACACTCATACTTCAGCCTATGCTCATGCTGCTCTGTCCTTCTAGGGGCCACCTCAGCCAGCAGCCTTCTCCAGGGTCTCAGCTTCAGCCTGCAGGATATCAACAGCAAGACCTCTGGCCTCCCAGCAAGTCCCTCCCCAGGGCCAGCCCCACAGGTGCAGACTGCTTTCCTGGTAGGGTCTCCTTAGTTTAGTGGGTTTGGGTTGGGAGATTGAGTCTAAGATATACCTCTCTGACTACACAGTTGGCAGCAAATGAAGGTTAAGTTCTGTCCTTCACTCTGTGACTGTGGGCAGGTTGTGACCTCTCTGTATCTTCATTTTCTTGTCTATAAATTGAAGGTACACTGCCTCCTATGGAGTTTTTGGGAGGATTATGGCTTATAGCTAACCCTCCGCTGAGTTTTCATAGGCATCAGTCTCACGGAAGAGATTTCCAAAGAAACGCCACCACTGAGTTGGTAACACGACTCCCTATAGACTATGCCACCAGAGCGTTCTTCAGTTAATAAGGGCATATACACATATATACATATATATGTAAAATGTCCAAAAGAGAGCCTGGTAGGTGGTGGTGATGATGGTGGTGGTAGTTACATGCCATCGAGTCACCTGCAACTCACAGAGACTCTATGTGCAACAGTTCTGACCTGCCCTATCCTAAGTCTCCAATAGATCTAATCCCATTTCTCTAATAACTGAGTCAATCCATTTCATCCTGCATCTGTCTCTCCTGCATATCCAAGCACAATATCCTTCGCTAAGGATTAGTCGCTCTTGGCCACATGCCAAATTATGTGAGACAGAGCTTCAAAATCCTTGCCTCTAGGGAAGGAGTAGCTCGATTTTTGCCCTCTCCAAGACAGACCTTTTTGTTCTCCTGGCAGTCCAAAGTATGTTCAACACTCTTCTCCAGTACCACAACTCAAAGACATCAGTCCTTTTTCTATCCTTAGTTATTGTCCAGATCTCTGATGGATAGCAAGTAATTGCAAAGACCATTGCCTTGATCAGCCACACCTTATTCTCCAGACTGACATTATTGTTTTTCAGTACTCTAAGAGAGTCAACAGACTATCCCAATGCAATTAATCTTTTGATTTCCTGACTGCTGGTGTCAAGGGTGTTGTGGAACCAAGCAGGCTGAAGTGGTTAACAGTCTCAATATCTTTATCTGTCATTTGGCGCAGTGGTGAGAATCTTTGTGTCCTTGATGTTGAGCTTCAATCTGTATTGAAGGCTACAGTCCTTGACCTTCTGCAGCAAATGCCTCAAGTCCTCCTCAGTTTCAGCAAGCAGGGTTGTCATCTGCATAACACAAGTTGTTGATGAATCTTCCTCCAAACCTGATGTCACATTCCTCCTCAAAATCCAGTCTTCCGAATGATCTGTTATGCATGTAGATTGAAAAAGTATGGGGTTAGGATGTATCCCTGATGCACACCTTTCCTGATCCTGAACTATAAAGTGTTTAACTGCTCTGTTCTGACCGAAAATGACTTGAAGAGTACATCAGCAAAGAACTGCCAGATGTGCAAGCTGGGTTTAGAAGAGGTCGTGGCACTAGAGACATCATAGCTAACGTTAGATGGATTTTCATTGAAAACACAATGTCTATTTCATTGACTATGCAAAGGCATTTGACTTTGTGGATCACAACAAATTTTGGCTAACTCTGAGAAGAATAGAAATCCCAGAACACGTAATTGTGCTCATGCAAAACCTACGCTTGTATGTGGTGAACATACAATATTTGCTAGCTTTTAGTAATACTCTCCACACCCCGCAACTTGAATTTTACTGTTAAGTGACAGCTTCTGATTCTTTGTGTATCTTGCAGGCCACCGGGATGAAGTTACCCACTCCTATGCAGAGCCTGGGCACCATCACCACAGGCACCAGCACCATTGTCCGCACCATCCCTGTGGCCACCAGTCTGTCCTCATTAGCTGCTACTCCCAGTGGGAAGCCGACAGCCATCCACCAGCTGCTGACCAATGGGGGCCTCGCTAAGCTGGCAAGCAGCCTTCCAGGCCTGGCTCAGATCTCTAACCAAGCATCAGGTGAGTCTCTCGGGGACCACAGGGACTCCCAGATCTAAGGCCTTACCCAGGACCTTCCCATTTCAGCCAGGCAAGCTGTGATACTGACCCCAATTCCAGAGGACCCAAACCTTGACCATAGACATTGACTGTGTGAGCCTCAGAGTAGGTGAGAACAGGGGCTGTCTCCCATTGCTTTTCCTGGAGAACCAGCTGGAGAGGAGGCTGAGGACAAGTAGGGGTGATGTTACTCGGAAGAAACTCCCGAATAGGAAAAACTCAGCAAAAAGTGGTGTCTGTGACATAAAAACCTGCTTTCTCTCTATCCTCTTCAGGTTTAAAGGTTCCAACCACCATCACACTGACGTTACGTGGCCAGCCGAGCAGAATCACCACCTTGAGCCCCATGGGCTCAGGAGCAGCCCTGTCAGAGGATCCCCCCGCCCAAGTTCTGCCCTCCACCTCACAGGTGAGTCTGCCTGGGAGGACTGCAGGCTCCAAAACGGGAGTTTGGGGATCACTGATCAGATGGGCTGCTGATGCACTGGAATTATGCACTGGATTTAGCATGTTCAGATCTATACTCGAGACTTTGTAGTTCCATAACTGAGCATGTCTTAGATGAGTCTCCTTTTCTGAAATGTTGCCTGGATTGTTGTAAGGATTAAATAGGGTTTACAGGGGTGCCTCATATTCACCATTTTTACTTACATTCATTCTCTGTTTCCTTATTTGGGAGTTACAGTTAAATGTTAGTTGGCTAATACTGTTTCTTGGAGCAGAAGCTTTGTACCTTCTCAGGACTTTACGTAGAGTGCTATGTTTTGCAGACACAGCAGGTGTTATAGCTCCTACTAAGGAGGTTACCATCAATTTCTCCTAGGTAAATTGGATTTTAGTTGTGTCCTTTTCAAACAAAATGACTCTAATCTAAATGATGATCTGAGGAGCCAACCCAAAGATAGGAGGTGAATGAAACATAATTTACCATTGAAAATGCTTCTCTCAGCCTCACTGTCTGAGCCTCGGCCTCCCTGCATGGGTGGTGCTGTCAGGCTGCAGGCCTGGCCCTGGCATCCCTCCAGGCCATCCCAGGAGCCTTCCCGCCCCTTTACTGTAGGAAAATACTGTCCACAGATTGTCCATGATGCTCGTAGCTGCCCCTCCCACCTGTCTGCAGAGGGTAATTTTTAAACATCTTTCATTTATTACTCATATAATGCCTACATTAAAGAAGTATATGATTTGGAAAGCAAAAAATTACCCTAAGACCACCCGTAGAGAGGATTATTTTTTTTTTAAGAAAACCAAATTGAGTCAATTCCAACTTGTAGAGTTCTGCCCTAGCATTCCCAAAGCTGTCATTTTCACAGGTATGTGTTGTCACAACTTTGTCCTGAGGAACTTGTACTGCCAGCCTTTGGGTTTACAGCCCAGCACATAACCACTGCACTACCAGTGCTGCTTTCCAGACAGAAGAGCTACTGTTAATAGCTTGATAGCTGTGTTCCATTTCTACAAAAGTGGCATAGTGGATTATAGGACTGTTTTGTAACTGACCTTCATGTATAAATGTCAGCACCATTCCCTGGCAATACACCAGAGGTATGGCTGCTTTGTGTCTCACTGTGAAGATATGCAAAAGTCATTTAATTACTCTCCAGTCAAGTAGAATTAGGGATATTTAGGTTGCGGTGGTGTGTACCATCAAGTTGGAATTCTTACTGACTCTCAAGTAAGTTGTTAGGGGCTCTAATTCATATGGGAGGATTGTCCCCCTTTCCCCAGAGGAGCGGTTTGTGAATTTGAACCACTTGCCTTTGGGCTGGCAGCACAACTTCCTACTGTTCGAGCACCAGAGTTTCCTGATGTTTCAGTTGAGTCAGTGTTACTGGTTTTTGATACTGTAAATAATGCTACAGGATTCACAGTTCTCACACCTCTGGCAACCTTCCTGTGAGCTAGAAAGCAATATGTACACCTAACGCCGATGTGACCCTTGGAGTCTGGCTGCTGTGGACTGATTAGCCTTCAGAAGGCTTCCGTGGGAGAAGAGATTGAAGTCACAGCGCCTGTAAGTCAAGGACTATCTTCAGCCACCACAAACTGGGAAGGCGAGCAGACAACCTGCCCTCAAACCTTCGGAGGGCATGGACCTTGCTGGCACTTTGGTCTGTGAGCTCTAACCCCCAAAGTGGAAGAAAATAAACTTAGAGTTTAGGGCGGGGGGGCGAAAAGAGAAAGCTTTAGCAGCTTGTAATTCAAGTCACAGTATGAATACCTGGCGTTTTTATACTTTTGTTCTAAAAATCATTCTTTTAAAATACCATTTCATTTTATTTCCCTTGTTGTGTACCATTGTTGAATCAGATCTGACAGGCACAGAAGGAGATTACCTCTCCTCCAGCAGAGCATCTTGTGGATTAGAACTGTGTCTTTTAAAATAATATTAATCTGATTGATAAAAGTGAAATTTTGCTTTAAAGCCTGTTTTCCTAGTTATTAATCAGATTATATACTTTTAGAAGTTTCTTGTCATAGTCTATAGTTAGTTGAATTATGGTACTCATATGCAGCTATTAATCCTTTGTTATAGAAACTGCATATACTATATTTCATCCACTTTTTCCCTTCTGTTCTTTTTACTTCTGTTTAAATATTAAATGCTTTTTAAAATGTCTGGATGATTTTATCATAATAGAATTTTTATGTAGTTAAATCTCACATCTTTTCGTTTATGACTCTAGAGTTGAAGGACCTAACTATTGATGAGTTCTTCATTCCTTGAAACCCATTTTTATCACATTCTACCTAGATTACTCTGAGGGAACTCTTTGATTGTGTGGTCTGTAGGGAGTTGTGTTGCTAACCATCGGTGGCACCTCTCTGGCAGTTCAAATCCACTGTGGTCCCTGCAGGGGTACACATGAAGCCGGGAGGATGGACAATTTCCTCTCAGCTCTGAAAACCCGCTGGAGGGTTGCCTATGAGTTGATAACTGACTCAATGAAGTGCGCTTGAGATTACAGTATAAATAAATACTGGGGCTATTCTCTCAATTTGGACAATTGTTACCGTGTGCATAGCTATGCCTTTGGGAGATGAATCTTTTCAGGTTCTAAATACTAAGCCTGCCATTTTCCCCTCCCTACCATCTCCCCTCCTTTACAAAAGTCCTAGAGTCCTCTCTCACTGGGGTTTTTGAGGCTAAAATCTAGGAAAGTGGGCTAACACTTGCCTTGATGGAAGGGATCCTCTTTTCTTCATTGTTCTCTTCCTAATCTGTAGAACTGCCTTGCCCCAGATGAAACCTCAGACACGTGCATCATTAACACTAGTTGCTCTAGCAGAAAATAGACCTTCCAATTCTGTCACTCTGCTAACAATTCACCACTTTCCTTTTCCCTTCTTGTCCTTAAGTATAAAAGCTCAGCACATGTATAAGGTGTTTCATCCTCACAAGGAGCCCATGAAATAAATGCAGTCATTTACCTTTTACAGATGAGAAAAAGGAGCCTCAGAGAACATACCTAAAAGGTGGTGGGAATGGGTCTCTGACTGCAAAATCTGTTCCTTGGCTGCTGAAAGATGCCTTTTTGCAACAGCCTTCTCCCTGTTGAGACTTGTTTTTGCATGGTTAGGTCAGAAGGTCTGATTGTGCTAAGCTGGCAAAGCTCTGACCCTTATCCTGTGACTTCTCCTGCCACAGCGCCTGCCTCCAGGACCCTGAATGAAGATGCCGTGGGATCCATCTCTGCCAAGTCAGTGCTGGCTGCCTCGTGGGTGCTGTTGGTGTGGGTACCGTCTGCCAAACTGTCTGCCGTCTGAAATCCAGACAGTCATTCTTGCCTCATGGCCACTGGTAATCCAGATAGGACCTCTGGGTATTAGGATACTTTCAGGCTAGGTTATGTGGCACCAACATAGGAGCAGCGTCTTCCAGGATCTACAAAACTATCCCCAGGGCCCCCAGTTTCCTCAGCAAATCTGGCTGTGTGTGGACCCAAGGCACTTCTTTCTTGCCATTTGTTGTGATTTCACCCACATGTCAGTTGATAAAGGAGTGGTCTCTGTTGCCTGCTGGACCAAGTTAGGAGGAACATTCACGGGGGACGGGTGATATGGACTGAGGGAGGACACAGCTCACTCAGCCTGGTCTACTGGCCAGAAGTTCAGTCCAGAAGGCTTGGTTTGGACCACTGTTGCCTTCATTTTCAGCAGCCCTGAGAGATTGGGCCCTGTTAAAAGAGTATATCAGTACTCAGCAGTCTGCTGAGATGGGAGCTTCCATTGTTCAAAGCCATCATTTGGTCAGTTTTATAATAAAGACAGAGAACTGAGTATAATCTCATAACCCCTTTGGCCATTCTTGGTGTTGGGAGCAGCAATGCCAGAATGTAAAAACACAGTCCTTTCTTTTTATCCCCCCTCACCGTACACACATTGGACAATTCCTGTAACAGGACCTTTAGGTCCAGAACAGCCAAAGAAGAGAAATGGAGCAATAAATGATGCGGTTCAGAAGAAATGATTTGTGTTTGGGAATTTGTGTCTGACACCATGATATTTATATGTAAGAACAGTTCAGTCAGCTGGATATGAAAAGTAGAATTTGCTAAGTCAGAGGCAAGAAGCCCTAGTATTTGAGGTCTCTATTTCCTCTGACTGAAAATAAAGTACATAGACCAGCTAAGTTTTCATCTTGGCTGTCCTAGGAAACTTGGAACATCAAGTCCAGAATGGCCATGTTCAGTGTTTGTGTTTCTATTTCCCATGACTCTTTTTCCTCTTCTCTGCCTGGAAATGGGAAGGTTGTTTGTTGGGAGTGGTTCTGCAGAGCAGAGCTATTGGTTATCAGCTTGAGCTGCAGAGACATAGGTCCCTGGGGCGCTCACTGAGCATGTCCTTCAAGTCCCTCCCTATCTCCTCTTGTTATAGTCTTGGATTTGGCTTTGAAGTGCTTCCCAAAGAAGGTTCCCTTCAGTACTCTAGAATACTCCTGTCAGAGTCATAAATAGAACTAACCACTTAATCCTAGTTAGTGTCCTTTCCTGCAGGTCAGGAGTTGGCATGGCTGGAGTAAGGCCCAGGGTCTTGTGTATGATGAGCCCAACCATCTGGTTCAGTCTGGGGTCCTACTTGCGAGACTGAGGGGTAGCCAGGAAGGAAGCTCTCGTCTGCAGGAATCTCTGACAAGGCACCCATTTATTGCAGATAGGTAGGGGACACACTGTGATAGGAAGGGCCCCCATCCCCTGACCGCCTGTTTCCTCCCTCCTTTCGAGCTGGTTTTAGCAGGCCTTCACGTAGAAAATTGGGCTGCGTGTTTGTGTTAGCTAGTAAGTAACTGCCTTTTGAAATTTAGAAGATAGGCCGTAAATTTGGAAGGAGCCTGGTGTTGTGGTGGTGGCTGATGTTTGGCTGCACAGCCATTTGAACCCACCAGCAGCTCTCCAGAGAAAGATGTGT